CGAAATTTGTGGTTATGTAAGTTGTCAGTGTCAAGAGCTATCGTGCCATCGTGACTTGTATTGTATTCTTCTCAAAACAATCTTTCTTCTTCAATTCTCATTGTTCTAATACTCCTTTCATTTATAGATATAGTTTTGTATTGTGCTCCCAGTATTATAGTTTATTCTGATTGATAATTTGTTACAAACACCTTCTCTCAATTGTGCCTATACCAGAAATTGTGAAACCGTCTCCATTCATCCAAGTGATAGTCTTCTGCGACAAAAGTATGAATACATTCGATATTGAGTGTTATAGGCTCATTACAAGTGAGATAATCAGAGCCCTGATCAAAAGCTAATAATCGATACTGCTCATTCTACCTCTTATTTAATTCAGGTGTTGAACGTTACGAAATCGGGGACTATTGTACTGTCTGTAGCAACTATTTTGAGAAGGAATGGTTTTTTGAATTTTTGAGTGACTGAGTGACCGTGACCCGTGACTATTTCGTGATACTGAACTCAAACTCACTGAACAACAAACTACGCGGCAGGCCGAGAGTGCTGAGGGAGCTGCTCAACTCGTTTACGATTTTCAAGGTTATGTAGGTTTGACAGGAAAACAATTGAAATAAGTGTTTCCTCGAGTTGACCGTATGGCGGCACTACTGTATCGGCCACAGAAACCTGTAGGTGATTTCCCTTGTTTGAGCAGACCAGATACTATACAGCTCACTAGATTTTTTCTCCATATTTAGCAGACAATGCTTTATCCAAATGAACAACTGTATTCTCCAGATGAATCAACAAGTCAACCAAAGTTTACCGCAGCAAATAGTCCGTACCCAGTTCCAACAGCAAGGCAATATGGGACAGCAAATCCTCATCAATCAGCCATCGCCACAAAATCAAGCTGCACCAAGACAACAACTGAATCAGCATTTGTGGTCCCAACAGCAAACTCCTCAAATACCTGGGCAACAACAGATAATAAGGCATCCGGTCAACGTCATCCAACAAGGTCAGTTGTTTTTTCTGCTGTTATAGCAGTTTCCATTGGTGAAACTAGTTGCACACTCAATTATTCGTATTAACACTCCACTAGTTTTGTCAAATATGTGCACTAATTCAATCCCTCGCCGGCCATAATGCACATTCACGATTTACGGCCTGTGAATGCAACGAAGTGTATTTGTTTAGTTTTCAAAAGTGAATGTGGTTGTTGGAAGCAACTTCATGTCCAGTACACAGCTTCGCGGATGATAGTTCATCCAACGAACAGCGAGGCTCTGGAACACATTGCCAAGGGAGGTGTTACCCGAGGCATATAACCTCCAGAAATTCAAGAAGATTCTCTGAACATTACAGGATATTTCTTTTTCGTGGGAACCAGAACATAAAAAAAACTCAGGCTCGTATTTATAGTCGTTTCCTCAAGAACTCCTCAAGTCTTCCTTATCTGAGGATTCCTTGAGGACTCCTGAGTACTTGATGTTAAACTTGTTTTATAGACCTCCCTTGAGTATTCCTTGTAAAAGGAGCCCTTACACTTGGCAACAGTGTATAATTTCAGTGTTCTGTGACCAAATTTGTTGTTTCATGTCACGTGTTTGTTTCAAAATGAAAAATGTCAAATTTGACAATGTTTACTGTTGAGTGCGAACATCGAAAGATTCTAATAATCCAGTAATGATCTTCAAAGGTTGGTTCAAATTGGGCCTAACATATATTACTTCAATCACAGACAAAATATATCGAAGGTTTCGCAAAATAAAAAAGGGGTCGAAAAGGTTATCGATGACGATGTTAGAAAATTACAATACAAAAATTACTCTATTAAAAACGGATTCTTTCAATCTGCAATGGAATAATATGCCGGGGAAAGAAAGAATATCCATTTGATTGAATACTTTGAATGAATCTGTGATTTTGTGTGGTTGTTCATTGAAAATGTATGTATTTCAATTTCATGAACAAATCATGATAAGCTTCCATCATTTGTAATATATACCTATTATTGGAAATAAAAAAAGATTTACTTTTCAACTAAACTTGAATCAGCTTCTACTGGAAATCGATATACTCCAATCAGATTCTCTGTACAAATTTCAAGACTTGAATATTCATTTGATTACTACATTCAAATTCGTCATTCTATTCATGAAATTCATAAGATAACCTGAAATTATACTAGAAATTGGGAGGTTCAAAATTCAGAATTCTGATGTGTTTCAATTAATGTCAGTAGATAGTAAATCAGAAGTTGAGATAGGGACATGAAAACCGCTTTGGCCAATAATGGATAGTTTCGACACAAAAAATTCATAAAGTTGAAAAAATCTCAATTTTTCACACCCTATATCATTTCAGCTAGACCCCAACTGTGATAGATCGATGAAAATCAGCTCTTCAGGGAGAATACAAAACTGCAATAAAATACATTCCATTTAAACATTTATACATCTTGCCTATAACTCTTTTTTGAGATGTTCAATTGTTTTTCTGTTAACATATTCAAAATCTACAGGAAAAATTATGAAAGACTGTTCTTTGGAAAAAAAAAACGATGATAAATAAAATAGTTGAGGGGGGGTTCAAAATATACGCGAAGACCCTGTACATTAAGAAACTCTAGCATTAGCTAGAGAAGAAGTTGTATTTCTCCCGTCATCAACCATTGTTGCTCATTTTATTGAACACTTGTGGAAATGAATTTGACATTTTGCTTCATTATTGACAGATATTCATCTGGAAGTATTCAGAATTAACTTGTTTCCTTAGCACCATACACTAAAATGGTCTATGATGGTCTTCTCTCTGTAGCACAGACATAGGGGTATTTGTTCAACTCATTCGCAGAGTATGATTATTCTTATACACCTTTGTACTTTTGCCACAAGATGGCTCTAAAAGCTAGATCGTGTTTCTCCTCGTTGTGGGCTTCGTTTCGTACCATATACCGGGAGTCCCAGATTTTTCCATACAGCCAATATCTCAGTTATGATGCTTGGGCGAAAAATTGCACTTTTGTCAAATCCATATGACTTTGAAGCCGTTGTGTCAAAGTCAACTTCTGTGAAACTACTCCTGAAAAGCCACCCCCAACTTCAATTATTCAAGTTACACCATATACATTTTTTCATTGATTTGTGAGTGGACTGATAATGAATTATTGCCATTCAATTACTCCACTATGTCGTTAGGAACCTAAATTAATTTTTGCAACACCACTCACGCTTTTTCAAGTCTATGCGTTGTTCAAAATTGTTGAATTTCAGAGCTCATTTCAAACATAACGTTATGGCCGCCATTTGGCGATACGTGGAATAAATGGGGACGTCAGTTTTTTTGCTTCATCGTTATTGGTCAGATAATCTTCCATTTCCACTCTTAAAGCAAGATTGTCGAGTCACCAATTATAATCAAGTTATCAAAAAGATGTTTGAGCCCTGTCGTTGAATAAAACATAATAGGAGGAACTCATGACATCATAGTTCATTCTTGACTTTTTCGAGCAACCAGCATGTCCAAATATTCTCCACAAGAAAATATTGATATCATGTGAATGTTGGAGACTTAGCAGCATTGTGCTGAACGCTGAGAACTCACGAGACCACGCCCACAAGTCGTGCGCGGCGTTGCCACGTTCACCGATTAAAATGTCCTCTAGTGTGAATTTATGTAATTATTATTTGCACAAATTTATTATAAGCATCAAGCCACAAATCATAAGGGAACATTTTGAGACAATTAAAGTTTCAAAGCTAATTAGGAATATTACCAATACTCAATTGAGAATTTATGAATGATCGAAAAACTAATATTTCTGAAGTTCCCAATGGTATTTTAACACATGGCAACTGTGCTACCAAAGAGTAGAAGGGGTCATCGAAAATGAAAAATATCTAATTATTGCAACTTGTAACGTGCAGTAATTCAATTACTGCAACTTACAACTTGCAATAATTCAAAATACTGCAACATACAACTTGCAGTAATTGAATTACTGCAACTTACAACTTCCAGTAATTCGAAATACTGCAACATGCAACTTGCAGTAATTTGAATCACTGCACCTTATAACTAGCAGTAATTCGAAGTAATGCAACATACAACTAGCAGCAATTCGAATCACTGCAAGTTACAACTCGCAGTAATTCTAACCCTCTTCTAACCAGTATTAGTACGAAAGGAACTGAATTACTTCAGTAAGATCTGTTAAATATTTTCTTCTATACAGTCCAAGATTTCTGAGATGTCTTTTCAAGGTGCTTTCACCACTGACTGTTATATTATGGTTCAATGTTAGCACAGCCATCAATTCCTTTTGGCTTAATCCCAAGTGAAAATAAAATTTAACCAACTCATCCTGATCCATTCTATTAGGTACCAATGTAATTGCCCCTGTAGAGGTATAAAAATATCAAAACAAGGTGGATGCAAGCTTTTGATGGTAAACTTCTATACGGTGTTAATAATGGAATCTAGCTGGTATTTAAGTTAACAGAGTAGTTGATCTATGAGTTAACCTCAGTTAATCTTCTTCTCAGCCTGTTTTGTGCTTTAGTTACTGCAAGTTGTAAGTTGCAGTGATTTCAATTACTGCTAGTTGTATGTTGCATTATTTCGAATTAGTGCTAGTTATATGTTGCAGTGATTCAAATTACTGCAAGTTGTATGTTGCAGTATTTTGAATTATTGCGAGTTGTGAGTTGCAGTAATTGAATTGCTGCACGTTACAAGTTGCAATAATTCCTTTCATTCTTTTATTTTTGATGACCCTTCTACGCTTTCGTAGGTCTGTCCCTACTTACGAAATCGTCGCGTCGGTTTTTTCTGGCGGTAAATTTCTAGCCGTTTGAAAATTACCGTGGCTTTATTATTGATGATTTTAGCACCCAGAAATCGACCGAAAAATTCTTGAAAAATAATATATTGAGAGGTATTTGAGTGATGATTCTATTTAAGAAATGAATAAAGATTAGTCCACTCGCCTATTCTCTGGCAATGATTTCGCAGAGATATCCTCACCATTCGCGATTTCATTCAATCAATCAATCATTCTTTATTTCCATTTTTCGACATGGTATATACATGTGTTGGAATTGTCAGTCAGTAAATATAAAATAATTATAGTAAAATGAGATAAGTACAAGAAATAAAATAGTAATAATAAAATACATGTAATGGTAAATATAATAAGAGTAAAACAAACACTACGCATGTTCCTTCATTATCGAAATTAATGAAAATTTGGTCAATTACCGTGCATGAAGTAGTGGAGACACGTGTTGGTCATCTGATAATCGGATTCAAATGGAATCCTGATAGTAAAGTCACTAATGTATTGAAATTACAGTTCTTGTACATATCGAAGTTAAAATCACCGCAAACAATGATATTGATTTTGGATCTATAAAGGTGATCTAATACAGACGATAAGTTAGTGAAAAATGTACGTTCATCGCCATTAGGGGATCGATAACAATTCAAAATTATATTATCCGATTTACCCACTTTGAATGATACAGCACAGAATTCAGAGTGTTGCTCAATACAATATTCGGATACATCGATGTTTTTCAATTGCGATATTGATTTCGCCCAGATACCAACACCTCCGCGTTGTTTTTCTGTTCTGCAGAAATGACTAATCAAATGATATCCTTCAATGTGGGTAAAATCGAGTAAATTTTCCTTCAAACCTGTTTCTACTAGACAAAGAAATTGCAAGTTTCCAGCAAAGTCTATTTCACTGATGATCTGATTGATTTTGTCATTGTTCAATGAATTCACATTCAGGAGAAACATATTTGGGTCGAATATTACCTTTTTATGTCGTTGATCCTGCGTCTCATAAAAAACTTTCCGATACAAGTGCCCTGAGGCCAAATTTCAGGATTCATAGCAGTTTTGAAGTTGTTATCATTAATAGTAACTTTGAAAGATGAATAAATTTCAGGATATCTAGAGTTAAGACCCTCGCATTCAACTTCAGGAAAACGTGCTTTGAGAAGCTTCACCATGTCCTCAGAAGTTGTTCCCACACTCACTCTATATACATGTAAATGTACTTTCTTCGGCCCATTGTTAGATCCCACAACCATTTTCTTCTTAGGTTGACCCGAGGGTTGACCCCTGTTAGCTGGTTTTCTTCTTACAACTTCACGCCATTCATTTTGAGTTGATCTTTCGTCCCCTTCTGCGGAAACTAGATGAATATACTCACTCAACTTCACCTGATGTTCACTCTCCATGACAGCGGCAGAAACTTCAGAAACCGATACTACATTTCCTGTACTATTCGAGATGTTCTTGTTTTTTGGTATAGCCCCTGACTCATTGCGTTTTTGTAGTACGACATCGGATTTTATTTCGAGTTTGTTGTCCTCTGACTTCTTATCATAGACAGTTCTTATCGGAGCTTTTTTATTATCTGCACGAGTACCCTCTGAACTTGAATTTGTGTTTGAAGACGACTGCAATTTATTCATCAAAACTATCTGATTGTTTAGGAGACTGATTTTGTCTTGAAGCTCACTAATGATCGTATCCTTCTGCTTGATAATATACTTGAAAATGCTTACATCAATTGTCTTACTATTATCCGACATCTGTTCAATAGCGTCGAAGAATTGGGCATCATTATTATCATCGGCCTTCTCACAACAGGCTAATCGGTTTTCATCAATGATTTTGACACCAGGACGTAACTTGGCACAACTTAGATGGAATGAACTGTCACAATTTATGCATTTCGAAGCATTCACAACTTTACTTTTACATTTCTTACACACAGCGTTCGCCGACGAACCACTCCCGGCGACGGCCATACTATCAATCGTTAGTCATTCATTCTTTCATCCGTGTTTGGCGTTTAGGATTGTTGGTGTATACTTTTCAATGATTTATGAACGAATCGCGGTATTCTGAAAACCAGTAAGATATATCAGTTGTCACCTAATTTGGATATGTATGGTATTCTTAGATTGAAAAGCAGATTGGTTCATGCAGATATTGAAGAATATGCCAAACAGCCTATAATTTTGAGCCCAAAAAATTACTTCACCCGGTTGCTAATTCGTTACTATCATGAAAAAGCTGGTCACAACGGAAGGGAATTCGTGCTGAATCAAATTCGACAGAAATACTGGATTCTGCGAGCACGATCGGCTGTGAGAAGTTGCTGGAGTTCCTGCCAGAAATGCAAAAATGTAAGGTCGAAACCAAGAATCCCTGTAATGTCTCCACTGCCACCATGCCTATTGTCCAGTTATGTTAGACCTTTTACATTCACTGGAATCGACTACTTTGGTCCAATGAATGTAATGATTGGAAGAAGGAAAGAAAAGCGCTATGGTGTACATTTCACCCGTATGTCCACAAGGGCAGTACAGTGTGTCCAGTTTTCGATGCTTTTGCATGATATCTCAGTTATCTTTCGAGATAGAACCTTGCGGTTTTCGCGGTCCTGTGCCACTTTTTTGTAAAACTCAAGATGGCCTTATCAGATTTTTCATAACTGTTTCCGTTTATGAGATACAGGGCGATTTTGAAAATTTATACTTTTTGGACCCCCTCTATATCTACGAAGTTTCTCAGCAAAAATGTCAAATTAAAATCTCATTCCATATAGAAGTTTACGCAGAATCCAGTGGCGCACTCAACTTTTTTTTTCGGGTATGGTTTTGGAGATACGACTCAAACTTATGATTTTTTAAATGGAACACCCTGTATTTTATAAGCTCATAAAATTCCTCATTTTTTTCTCTTCAAAATGATTTGAAATGTATGTATATAACATTTTCAAAAATGCTCTATAATCACTAAAACATTGAATTTTAATAGTGGGCTATGGATTTTTCTTATAAAAAAGTTCCAATTGAAGGAATATTCATTTTGATTTTTCCGTAAAGAGGACAAAAAGAATACCAACACTAATTAACCCAGAAAACACAAAAAATATGTACCTGATAGCAACAAATAAACAGTAATAAAAGTCCAATGTAGAATAAGCACCAGATTAAATATTCACAAATACAATTGAATTTCGGAATTATTCAATAACTTATTCATTGAATTGTTCAAATTGATGTCCATTTTCCATAACACACAATTTACACAGTTTCTCAATACGTCTTGATACAGTAAGAGGCACAACAATCTTGAAGAACTTCCTGCAACAACAGAGGCAGTTTTCCAGGAATTACAAAGACATCCTTTAATGATTTTGAATACATTAAGACGCATTGAGAAAGTGTGTGAGGGAAAATGGACATCAATTTGAACAATTCAATGAATAATTAGCTGATTAATTTCGAAATTCAATTGTCCTAGTGAATATCAAATCAGGTGCTTATTCTAGAATATGAACTTTTTATTACTATTTATTTGTTGCTATCAGGTACCTAATTTTTGTGTTTTCTTAGTAAACTAGTGTTGGGATTGTTTTTGCCCATAAGGGTCACCAGGACCACGTTTCTTTAGATTTCAATGACCAAGAAGCTCTTACACCCAACCATTTTCTATTGGACCCATCGTCAAATGTTCCTCTCCCTTGTATAACCTCTGAAAATGATTTGATAACAAGAAAACAATGGAAGATATCACAAGTTATGGCCGATCATTTCTGGAAGAGATTGGTGCGTGAATACTTACCTACATTCACGAAACGCACAAAATGGTATGAAAAATCAAATGATCAGCTGAAAAATGGTGATGTAGTCATAATAGTTGATTCGGATTTACCCAGGAATTGTTGGTTGAAGGGTATCGTGACCAATACATTTCCTGGAGAAGTGCTGAAATCAAGACTATGCTGGGAACTTACAGAAGACCAGTAGTTAAATTATGTAAGCTAGACGTTGATGTGAAGGAGGACGAAGAAACAAGGACTAGAGAAAAATGATGATGAGTAATGAATAGTATCATTACTAGGGGAGCCAATGTTGAACAGTTATATTCGTCGATTATGATGTTATTGATTTTATGTTCCTATGTATATTTTTGAGATGACGGCAATGCCAGTTTAATTCTAAAATTATTGAAATATAGAATTTCGAAGGCAGTTTAATATCATTCAACTGGTTTACTTCAAGAATATATTTCACGCGGTGTCTATCTTTTGTTATTCAGTCTGATCATCATCCCTATTTTTGGGTAGGTTCACCGAGGGTGCAGTGGTCCCCGACCGGCCAACAGGGCGCCGGCCCCCCTCCCCAGAGGCAGTTCATCCAGCTGGACGCGCGCACGCACCAGGAGCTGCAGAAGATGCCACCCGAGCAGCAGGCCATCTTCGTGGCGAAGATCCAAAGGCATCGGCAGTTCCTCAAGCAGGTGCAGCAGCGCGGGGGTGGGGGGAGTCACATCCTGATTAGAGGTGAGTCGATCGATCACGATGTAGGGTTCGTAGTAGTAGTAGTAGTAGTAGTAGTAGGTAGGGAGGTTGTAGCCAAGCAAGTAGGTCCCGATGGACCCTTTTTGCTAACCCCTGCTCTCCACATATATGCCGATTCTATTCAAAATTTGTGAGTGGGCGTTTTCGGGATAAAAAATTATGATTCCTGTGTCAAAATTAGGGAATTCAAGATGGTAGATCTAATATTGCGGACGATTTTGTAACTATGTTCCGATTCTATTCAAAATTATCATCTGGGGTTTTTGGAGTCGGATATTATGATTCTTTCGTCAAAATTGGGAAATTCAAGTGAACTAAAAAGAAGTTGAAATAACTGGTAATTTGAAAAACCAAAGAAACACGCTTTTATAGATAGCAAAACTAAAAATAAGTAGAAAATGATATAATAATAGTGTCTTGATGAATATTAAACTGAAAAAATATATTATTATTATTATTATTGGTGCATTAAGAAGATGTCCCAAACTTGATATCAAAATGGCAAACATGATTCTCTATTAATACTATTTAATAAATGTTTGGGGATCTTGTTCAAAAAATAAATTCAATAAAATATCAACATTATATAGAAAATCGTTAAAAGTATTGTATCGTCTCCCATTTGATACACCAACCAATCAATTGTATGAAATAACAAAAACGTATTCTTTAGATGAAATATATAGAATTGAAACTCTTAAAATATCATATTATATCATAAATAAAAAATTGAAGTCGAATATTATTTTGATACCGAATTCTGAAATTCATAATCATGAAACTAGACAATATAAATTGTTTCATCTTGATGCCGCTAGCTCTATAATCGAACAAAAAAGATTCACTCATTCAGCCTTAACTGAGTTCAATAAACTACCTGATAATATAAAAAATTACAGAAATATAGGCACATTCAAAAATGAATTAAAAAAACTGATTATTTCTGAGCAAACTGGATAAAATTAATCATTTTCACCACAAATATTATTCTTTGTTTGCCAATTTACAGTTGTTGATATATTTTGAATGATGCTATGTTTACCTATAGGTATATAATTATGTACTTCCTTATACCAGAGCCTATTCTGTCTGGAAGTTATTTGTTCAATAAATAAATAAATAAAAAAAATGTATACAGCAAAACAACGTTTGCGAGGTCTGCTAGTTTTAAATGAAAATACCTGCGGCCACATTTCGATAAGATTGAGGGTTACTTAGCTGTGTGCCCGTGTATACAGAGTGGGCCTTTGAAAACGAAACAGAGGCTCTGTAGGTCGCCAAAACCGGATTATGAAAAGAATCTGAAACACATCATCTACATTTTCGAGGGGGACATCGTCCTACAATATTTTCAGCCCTGCGGCGTTGCCGCTGCTAACGAAAAGAAGCAACAACTTTGTTATTTCAAATGGAACACCTTGTATTTTATTGCATTTTTAGATTCTCCCCGAAAATCTGATTTCATCAATGCATCACACTTGGGGTCTAGCTGTAATGGTTTCAGGGATATAAAGTGTTCAAAATCGAGATTTTTCAACTTTAACATTTTTTTGTGTCGAAACTAATCATTATTGGTCAAAACGACTCCCATGTGCCTATCCCAACTTGTGATTCACTATCTACTAACATTTAATTGGAACAGATACAGGGTGATCAGAATTCTGAATCTTGAACCACCCTGTATTTGTTTCAAATAAATGTCAGTAGATAGTAAATCACAAGTTGAGATAGGGACATGAGAGCCGTTTTGACCAATAATGAATAGTTTCGACACAAAAAAAATTTAAAGTTGAAAAATCTCGATTTTGAACACTTTATATCCCTGAAACCATTACAGCTAGACCCCAAGTGTGATGCATTGATGAATTCAGCTCTTCGGAGAGAATCTAAGAATGCAATAAAATACAAGGTGTTCCATTTGAAATAACAAAGTTGTTGCTTCTTTTCGTTAGAAGCGGCAAGGCCGCAGGGCTGAAAATATTGTAGGACGATGTCCCCCTCGAAAACGTAGTTGACGTGTTTCAGATTCTTTTCATAATCCGGTTTTGGCGACCTACAGAGCCTCTGTTTCGTTTTCAAAGGCCCACTCTGTATATACTAATAAAGGGAAGTGTTGTATTTTGGGCAAGACGATTCAATCAAATTTATTACTCGTAGCAGAGCGCTTTCGACTGTTAAGTCATCATCAGTGCATACTAATCAGGTTAACAAGGAAATTTGTCCATAACCTGACGAGTATGCACTGATGATGACTTAACAGTCGAAAGCGCTCTGCTACGAGTAATAAATTTGAATAAATTATCTTGCACGAAATACAACACTAGTAAAAATATAATTTTATTTTTATTAAATAACGTATGAACGTAATAATCTTGCAGTCGGATCTTAGACCATATCTTCCTATCTCTATCTATCTATCGTTCGATCTTAGGTAACGTCCTACTTGCGGCCACATTTCGATAGGCAACCCAGTAAAAATATATTCTCCTATTCATGAATATATTTTAAAATTGTATTTTCATTAAATAACAGATGAACGTAGTAATCTTGCAGTCGGATCTCAGACTCAATCAAATCAAATCATAAAATCAAATCAAAATTTGCTTTATTGTCGGAAGATTGGTATCTTATTGACAAAGTCTTGTATAAAAAAAACAAAATATCAGGTATATATCAATATAAAACACATGTCACAAAACAATTAATAAATGGGTAAAATTAAATTAAATGAAATAAACATAAAACACATTCACATCTGCAGAAAAGTCAAGTAATAATTTCCAGGTTATCACAGTAGAATTCATTGATTGAATAATAAGCCTTTTCGATCAATATATCTTTAATCGAACTTCAGAACTTTTTGATATCTGTAATATTTTTTAGATTAGTAGGAAGGTGATTGTATACTTTAATACTTTCATAAATCAGAGAATGTTTAGTCAAAGCAAATTTTGGAATGGGTAGATGAAGCATATGGTTCTGTCTAGTACTATGACAATTTGTTCCGGGAGTGTACATGCTAGTTTTATTTTTATGAATTGAGCATACTATTTCCATTATGTATAAACAGGTGACAGTTAATATTTTGTGGCTGATGAATAAAAGCTTGCAGTGATCTCTGAATTCAGACTTTGCAAGGTATCTCAATGACCTCTTCTGAATAGCAAATATCGTATTATGTAACTGTAGATTACAATGGCCCCAGAAAGCTATTCCATAGTGAATATGAGATTCGATCAATGCAAAGTAAGCTATTCTAGCCGTAGTATACCCTAGTTCATTTGATATTACTCTAATTGCATAACATCCACTAGAAACTTTTTTACTCAAATGGAATACATGTTCTTTAAAATTTAATTTATTGTCTATATAAATGCCTAGGAATTTAGAGTGCTCTTTGTTTTCTATGTAGCGGTTCTTCAATTCTAAATCGTCTAGTACACATTTGAAAGTAACTAGCTTTGTTTTGTTTAGGTTGAAGTATAAAGAATTCGCGTTACAACAGGTTTGAATTTTTTGAATATCTATTTTTATCATATTTGATAGCTGATTAATTTCTTTATGACTCCATATAATAGTGGTATCGTCGGCAAATACAGTGAATCGTCCTGCGATGTCAATGGTTATTAGGTCATTTGAATAAATTAAAAACAACATTGGTCCTAAAACAGACCCCTGAGGTACTCCATGTTTTATGTCACTTAGATCAGACTGTCCACTTGATGTTTTCACAACCTGGCGACGTCCTGACAGATATGACCCGATCCAGGTTAAATTTTTTCCTCTTATACCATAATGGCTGAGCTTCCGCAGCAGTGTTTTATGATCAACGCAATCGAAGGCTTTCGAAAAATCACAAAACACTGCTGCAACAGCCCTGCCACTATTTATGCTAGAGTATGCATTCTCTAGAAAGGAGAAAATCGCATCTGTGGTGCTTTTCGAACTTTGAAAGCCGAACTGAAGACTAGATAGCACATTGTTTATCGATAAGAAGGACATTAATCTTTTTTTCACTAATCTTTCAATAATTTTTGAAAGGGTCGATAATAAAGAGATGGGCCTGAAATTTGAGGGATCCTCCAGATCTCCACCCTTATGTAATGAAATTACTATAGCTATTTTCAGACAAGTCGGAAATATGCCACTCCTGAATGATTCATTAATGCATTCCACCAAAACATGTAATGCACTTAGAGGTAGGTTTTTAAATATTTTTACAGATATTCCATCTATACCCGCCGAATTTTTATTTTTAATTTCATTGATTATCTGTATAAGCTCATGCACATTGGTATCTGTAAGAATGAAGTTGTCAGCAACATTTACATTATTTAGATATTCCAGGGGGTCACAACTGGCTTTTATGTTCTCTTTCAGTTTTTCGCCAATAGAACAATAGAAATCATTGAGTTCATCTGGAGCTAGGTTAATTTTAATCGAATTTGCCTTATTATTACCTCTAAGATCATTAACTATGGACCAGTTTTCTTTTGTTTTATTGTTGGCTGTTCTGATTCTCTCTTCATAATATTTATCTTTAGCCCTTTTAATAATTTGCCTATAAATACTCCTATATTCATTAAAATATTTTAAGAAGCATGCATTATCAGCATACTTCCTAATTGTATGTAATGACCTTAGGTTGTTTCCTGAATTTTTTATGACAGTTGTAATCCATCTCTATGTATCGTTCGATCTTAGGAAACGTCCCGCCCGGTCTGACGACTCAACAGCAGGTCCAATGGCTGCAGCAGCAGGCGAAGCAGCAGGGCATCGTCCTGCCGCCCAACATCCAGCAGCAGAACATCACGCCCGGCACGCTCGTCCAACCGCCCGGACTGGCGCAGGGCGGGCAGCCAGCCCAGCAAGCGCCCGGCCTGAGCCCGATCAACCAGGGCGTGGGCGGGGGCGGCCAGTTCGGGGAGCAGGGTCAGCAGCAACAGGTGCAGATCAGGCAGTTCCGGCTGCAGCATTTGCAGCTGCAGAGAGAGCAGGCGCAGAAGAGTCATTTGGCGCAGCAGCAAGGTGGGTTTAGAATAGAAATAGAAATGGAAATTTTATTGATCCATAAATTACCACAATTATAAGGGTGCAGTGGCGGCTCGTGTTTTTCATGACAGAGGAGGCTGAATGATATGAGATTTATTGTGAAAAACAACTCTCTACTCAGCCAATTAATTTACCAATTTGCAGTTGGCCTACATGATCAGTGCAACTAATTGTTGCCCGGCAAAAAATTTACTATCATATTTGCAAAACAATTCTACCATTTCTTTAAAATTCCCCTTATTGAAAGACTCTGCAGTTTCGTCATGCCCTCTTAAAGCTAAGTCTTGAGATGAAAAAAATAATAGGAAATCAATCAATTTTGTCAAAGTTTCGCGATTTTCTTTAACTGCATAGTTATGGTTCTCAATTTCTCGTACGCGAGCAGAATCAATAGCGTTAATGACATTCTGTTTACCAGTTAACATGAACTTAATGCTTGAAGAGATGTGTTCCTGTCACTTGCAGTGTCTATCCAATCCGCGAGGCGAATTTTTCAAATCATTATATCCTAATCGCCCCAACATTATGACTTATCGGTTGAAAATGATACGCAGTACTAACAAAATAGCCTTGCCTCAGATCCCGTCAACCAGATATATTTTTTATAATTATCAGAATTGAACGAACGATTTTGTTTGTTAACTGTTACAATCATATTTATTAATTCCGGTGTCGGGACATTTGTTTTTCACAATCAATTCATCTTCATAAGACAAAGCACTGAATGGGTTCACCAAAAAGTATTCCACTAAATCGAAATCGTTTAAAACACTCATTTTCCAGAAATTTATAGAGCCCCTAACCATTAACCCAACATAAACATAAACACTGCACTCGCGCTCGAATACGAGCGAAAGCAAAATTTGCGAGTCGAACAATGTCACTTTTGATCCGAATGAAACATGCTATTTTTTCTGCAACCGAATCAATCAAGTCAAATGAATATGTGAAGTAACCACCAATGCCGTGCCATATGTATGCAATTCAACAAATATTGACAAATAATCCGTGTGGTGAGAATATTCTACCTGCATTAACAGCAGGTTCATTCAATTTTCAAGGATGTTCGAATTGTAGTTTCAATATGAATACAACCACAGAGTGACATATTTGTGTATGGACCAGGTGCTCTAATGGCAAATATCGCGCCAGTGCCAGCTATAGGAACAAGACGTAGAAAATGTTAGGTTAGTGAGCATATCAACAATAATAATAGCCGAAGCCCTGAGGGGGCAGAAGGACGATCTAGCCTTCATAGCCATCTAGTGGCTTAAGTGCAAAGGTGTATTAGGTAGATTCATCAATCATACCTTGCGACTAAGTCGTGCATATAGACCCCTACGTCTATATGCTTACAGAAAAGACATCCATGTCAGATTCTGTAGACTATCGCAACACCTGTAATTCTCAAAGTGGTTTAATGTTCCACTAACAGATGGTGATAAACCTAGAATCTCAAGACTAAGAGATTCTAGGGAAATTTCGTGAATCGATTGTCAGCTGATGCAAGACAGACTGTTTCGACTTGCCATAAGTCTCATCAGTTGCACTGGCCAGCTGACAATCGATTCACGAAGGTTACCTCCATATATCGAACATTAAACCACTTTGAGAATTACAGGTGTTGCGATAGTCTACAGAATCTGACATGGATGTCTTTTCTGTAAGCATATAGACGTAGGGGTCTATATGCACGACTTAGTCGCAAGGTATGATTGATGAATCTACCTAATACACCTTTGCACTTAAGCCACTAGATGGCTATGAAGGCTAGATCGTCCTTCTGCCCCCTCAGGGCTTCGACTTGTTCGATATATGGAGGTAACCTTCGTGAATCGATTGTCAGCTGGCCAGTGCAACTGATGAGACTTATGGCAAGTCGAAACAGTCTGTCTTGCATCAGCTGACAATCGATTCACGAAATTTCCCTAGAATCTCTTAGTCTTGAGATTCTAGGTTTATCAATAATAATAGCGATTATTCATTCCTCTTCATACTACAACACTGTGTTTGATTTGATAATCAAATGTAGGTAAACAATTTCTATGCAACTTAGAGCCCTACAGTATCGAGGAATATTTTCTGGCCTGTAGGAACCCATGAATGAAATTTTTATTCGAAACCATGCTATCTATGTGTATATATGTATTTATTGAAAAGTTATGTACTTATGTCTGTTTAAATCTACATGTGAAATTTGTCACTTATTTTAAATTGTTTTAATAGTGTTTGAAACTTATATCCATAAACTCATGTGAATGTTTCATATCATTTTTAAATTCATGTATTAACCTATTGATAATTCTACAAGTTCTTCTTGACGTATTTCTCAGACAAAAATATTCTGCCACTTTTGTGAATGATTATAGAATACTCTGTTGAAATAAATTTATCTATCTATCTATCTATCTAATATCGTTGTTTGAGACAAAAAAAACTATTTCTTGTCGTGATTATTCAAAAAGTAGTTATCTATCCCGAGAATAACGAATGAAATACAGATCAAGCAAGTATTTGAATCTTGAAGGTTTTCCTGATCAAAACAAAAATACCTAACTGAGATGTTTATACTTCCAATACTCAAGTATAATAAGGTGTATTTATATCTCCAGCATGGGTATGAAATGCCAAAGCTGCCGAGATCGGAAACAAATCAGGTACGCGTCTCAACCCAAATAACCAATCGTAACAAAGTTGATTCTTGATGACGTCCAGTACATCCTTTAGTTCCTAGGAGCTAAAGTTCGACTTTATCTCCTAGGAACTAAAGTTCAAGTTTAGCTCCTAGGAACTAAATATGTTGCCTAACAACATACCTATTTTTGTATCAGTAATAGAAACGTCAATTCAAGAGCTAATTTTGGTACCAAAATGGACGACTTTTGTGTCGGTTAGTAGAAAGTGTCAGATATTAAGAATTCTTCACATTTTCTCTTAACATTTTCGTAACAAGAGATGTTTTTCAGTCCATCAGGAAGGGCATTAAATAATTTCAAAGCAATGAATTTAGTAGATCTACGCAACATTGCAGTTTTATGTCTCGGCTAAAGTTCGACATTATCTCCTAGAAACTAAAGTTCAAGTTCAGCTCCTAGGAACTAAATATGTTGCCTAGCAACATACCTATTTTTGTGTCAGTAATAGAAACGTCAATTTAAGAGCTAATTTTGGTATCAAAATGGACGACTTTTGTGTCGGTTAGTAGAAAGTGTCAGGTATTAAGAATTCTTTACATTTTCTCTTAACATTTTCGTAACAAGAGATGTTTTTCGTTCCATCAGGAAGGGCATTAAATAATTTCAAAGCAATGAATTTAGTAGATCTACGGAACATTGCAGTTTTATGTCTCGGTATGTCAAAGTTCTTATGGCGAGTTTGATACCTATGGTGATTTTGTGAAACGTTATTCAAATCACTCTTGATGAAAGTAAGGCATTTCAAAATGAATATACCTGAAAATGTTGAAATCCGCTTCTTTTCAAATGTAGATCTACAGCTATCTCTGAATCCTAATTGAAATACCAGTCTAATTAGACGCTTCTGAGCAATGAAAACTCGTTCCCAATCACTTGATGAACCCCATGAGATGATGTTATATGAAATGTGGCTATACGCAAAAGCATAGTACAAGTTTACAAGACCTTTCTCACCCAAATAATAATATTAATAATAATAATAATAATAATATTTATTTTATCCTTTGAGGCATTACAAAATGTATAGGACAAGTCAAGGGCTTACAAAATGGTTTAAAAATGAAATACATGATGAAATACACAAAATACAATTATTGTCAGTAAAAATTAAAACAAATTGCAACAATGGCTAAAATGGCTACTCCAAGTCATCCTGCAGGAATTCATCTTTTTAATTAATGTTGGAAGATGAATGTATAATTTCATTCCCATATATCTAAAACTATTTTCTAGTTTTGTGTTTGGGAATGCGTAGGAGATCTGATTTTCTGGTGTCATAGTAAAGATTTGAAGAATTCAGTTGGAAGGTATTGATGTTATTTCTCACATACAGAAGACAGTGATAAATAAACACGCTGTAGAAAGTCATAATTTTATATCTTATGACGGTGGGTTTACAAGTTTGTTGATATTCTAGTCTGACCATCTTTTGAATGATCTTCTTATGTGTCACAAATATTTTAGTTACATCGACTGAGTTACCCCATAAAATGATATTATAACATAACTGACTGTATACTAGACTATAGTATACATTAATTATTGCACTGGTGGGCATGGTGTCTCTTATTCTAGATATCGCATAATATGCCTTATTTAATTTGGTGTTAACAGCGTTAACTTGATCTATCCATCGAAGATTGGAGTCAATATTCAAACCTAAGAACTTTGTTGATGCAGTTGATCCAATCATTGTTTGGTTCTCAAAGTTTATAGTAAGAGTACGTAAGTTGTTAACTATATTATGGGAATGAAAATATACGCATTCTGTCTTCTCAACATTCACCATCAAACAGTTGGACTTGCACCATTTCACGAAGGTTCGTACAATATCCTTGATAGAAGACATGAGTTCCTCCGAGGTCTTTGCAGAGACTGCCAATGATGTATCGTCCGCATATATAGTTAAAAAGTGATGTTTTAAATGTTTTGGTAAGTCATTTATGAAAAGTAAAAATATTAAAGGCCCCAACACAGATCCCTGAGGAACTCCTCTGTCCATAGTGTAAGATTCTGATATGGCCTCCCCTACTGTTACTAGCATCTATCTATTGGTTAAAAAATCTAATATCCATTCAAAAAAAAAAATCCCTCTAAATCCTATATTGAATAATTTATTTCCAATGAATTTTATGTCAAGACAGTCGAAAGCACGTGATAGATCAAAAAACAGACCTGCCACGTGCTTTCCGCTGTCCAGTTCCTTGTATACGTATTCGAAAAAATTGCATGTAGCAGTTTGTGTTGATTTATTTGCACGAAAACCATGATGGTGCGAGG